TTTCATGTAAGTTTAGTTCTTTCACTCGTAGCTCGGGCTGCGGGGGTGCTAGAGACGGGAGCACGTTGATACGACCTTCCTAGTTGGAGATATGGCCGCATTTTACAATAAACTTCTGTTGGGTCGCTTAAAAACAAATATCGCAAATCGAATTGCAATATCTGTCGCAATTATTATTTCCCCAAATCGTGCAGCCCTATACAGAATTAACTTATTTTTCCCCAATCATTTCTACCTTCATTTGGTATCAAACAACAGTGAGATGAAGATTAGTGACATAAAACCCGTCATTAAACTTCACACACATTTAGACATCTGTGTTCAAACACTTCCTTTTTCACACACACAAACACATCCTTGTGTCATGTGCTTCCAGCTTTCGCACACACTCTCAAGCTGGGTCTCCAGTTGGCGCTCAGAAACCTGATACTGAAAGAAGTGGTCCAGTTATTTTGCCATAGTGGTCAACACACACATGTTCCCTTTTGGCCCTGTCCGTTTTGTTATGTACATGAGAGCTCTGCTGCTGGTCACACATCTAAGCAACTGTTGCCTTCTGCTCTTTTTTCAAAAGAGGTTACTCAGCTTGACTATCTTTTTTTCAATTACAAATGAATGATCAAGACTAGCTGTTGGGACTCTCACTTTAATTTCTCATGTGAAACCAATCATCATAAATGAGGGATGAGATACAAAGTGGAAACACATGAAATGGATGATTGGGGTCAAGGAAATGGGCAAGGCCAGGAGATGCTAAGTTTCAAGATGACACACTCTAGGCTGTGCCCAACATTAACATGTGGTACTCACAGGTAAGTGGTGAGAGGGCTGAGGTTGGTCGGAACAGAAGCTAGTCCCAACTCCGAGCAGTCCACCATGACGAAGATCCCATCTTCCTCACACTGGCACGGAGACGGGCACAGCGGTGCCGCCGGCCCTTGTCTGTCCTGGGCCCGTCCGTACCCCCAAACTCCAGGGGCGGACCCCAAAACTCCACCAGCTACGCAGAGAATCAGGAGCACAGAAAGCATGTCTAACTATCCACCTGTCTGCAACTACACCTGTAGATGTGTCTGTCCTACTCTCTTTCGTCCTCTGATGGTGAAAGATGCAGCTTTGATGAAGTGAGGATGATCCAAAGTCTCTGTCCTTTTTCAATAGTCCTGGCTCTTTGCTGCCTTTTTCTCCTGTGCAGGTTATCCTCACTCAAAGCCTGTCCCTGTCACAAGTTCTATCTCCTCATTTCTCTTTATCCTTCCGTCACTTCATCCCTAGGGGTTAACTTTGTAGTAACTTCTTGCCCCTCTTTCCTCTCACTATGCCCTCTCCTTTCTCACAGTCTTTCTCCCCCAAACACAGCCACCCTTTCTCTCTCTCTCTCTCTCTCTCTCTCTCTCCCTCTCTCTCACTCCTTGTATATATCTCTCGCTCTCTCTGTCTCTCTCTCCTTACCTATTGTAGAAGGAGCGCATGAGTTGTGAATGAGCCACCCTCATTGGCCCACATTTTAGGGATGGGCTGGAGCATCTCCGGAAAGTAGGAGGGGCCCGCGATTCTCAAACTCTTCCCTCTCTTTCTCCCTCTCTTCCTCTCCCCCTGGTTTACTTTTCCTAGACGCTTGATGTTAGGAGAAAGAGTGAGTTTGAGGAAGAGAAAAGAGGATGGGGGGGGTGGCGGCAATGTAGTACAGTGGTGTGAGACCAAATGTCTCCTTTTGGGACCTTATGAATGGAACTGGGAGAAAATGAGTGTTTATATCTGAAAGAGAGTAAGAAAGCAAGCTCTGATGAGTGTGTCTGGCCGTGTGAGAGATGCAGGGGGTGAGATTGTGTGACTGGGAGTGACTGTTTGGAGGAAATTGGAATTCTGACACTTCAGCACCCCTCAGTCCCCAGAAAGGGCCGAATCCAGTGTCTCGTAAGTCACACCTTCTCAGGTTTCTTCTGCTGGAATGCTCGATTGCACACACGCACAGACACACACACCCGCCTGCATGCACACACGCACATGGGACACCCATAGAAAATAACAGATTATGAGTGACCGGCGCAAAGGAGCTCACGTATCCATTTCACATACACACACTCCAGTCTATAGAGAGAAGAGTGTGGATTTGTGAAGAAGTGTCAGCTGCCTCTGGCTAAAGCCTGTGTGTATTTCACAGTCAGTGTGCTCCAGTGCAGATTTTTAACAGATCTTTGAAAATAATTTCCCTTTCTTTTATTACAACACATAAGTCTTGCCTGCGTAGATGTGATATTTAAATCAAACATGTGCTGTTCCTGACTGAGCACAGATGAGGGCTTCATACAGCCTGACAGAAATGCTATAAAATGAAACGCTCTGCTCCACAGCTGAGCTTTACATGCTGTGCACCTGTAAGCACAGGGTGTTGCATAACTGCTGAATGATGCATTCCATAATTATAAAAAATCAAAGAAAGAAAAAACTGGCTTTCCATTCAAAGCAATGCCGACTTAATTCTGTCCTTTTGTAAGATGTCAGGCGTATCTCCTCCTAGCAACACGTACTAAGCAGTAAAAAGCTGCAATAGGGAGGTGAGATAATTAATGTTTTCCAGTAGAAGACAATTAAACACTGAATCAATTACCGATTATGAAGCATTTCTCTAATTGAAAAGAAATCCAAAAAGGGGTAAGCATTTCATAATAACTAATAACTCAAGTTTATGTGATTCTTCTTCTTTTACGAGGAGGATTACACAGTCCACCATGACTTGATCAATTCTGACAACGAAATATTTTTAAAACCCCAATGGATTAACTGAGAAATGCATGGTAGTAAATGTGGAAAGCAAAGTTGTTCTTGTATTTCTGGAAAGCTGAAGCTTGAAGAACAGAAGCTTTGACAGTGCGCCAAAATGCACGAGCAGAGATGCATCATACAAAGTTATTGACAAGCAAGTTCCCCTATCATGCCTGTTTCATTGAAACTTGTCCAAAGTAAGTTCACTCTGTGCTTTCTGAAAAAAGTCTTTGCACCCTTGTTTGAGTTTGTCTGCCCCTCCAGCAGGTCTGTCAGTCTCTCTCTTATGTCTTTCTTTCTCCACCATTCTCTGTTGCCTGAATAGTTTCTCATTAATTAATTAACATTCCTATGCCACTGTGTTTTCTGAGGGGCCTTTGTTATGTCCCCACAAAAAGTCTTTCAGAGCTGTTCTTCACATGGTCTCCCTCTCTCTCTCATGCTCTCTCTGTGCTCTGTCTTTTCTCCCTCTTTGTAGTGGAATGTGCGTTGTTGCTCTTTGTCTATTGTTGGATTGAAAATGTTGCGTAAATTGTTTTCAATTAATGTTTTATTATATTATTTCTTTCACTACCTCAGATGCAGATATACAGACTCTATAGGAATATTTGTGCGTGATCCTACAGTACACCCACTTTCAGCACATGCACATTCCCACGGGCAAACATGCACATATAGAAAGACTTGCACAGGCTCTTCATACACCTGCAAACTCTTCCACTCCCTGAGCTCTCCACCTCTCCCCTTTTTATGCGCAGAGCTCTGTCATCTTTTTAAATGCTCTTTAATTGTCTTGCCCCAGGGGAACCCTAAAACACACGCACTGTAAAAATCTGCCTCTCTTTCTCTGCCTGTCTCTCTCTTTCTTATTGGTCTCGCTTTCTTCTTCTGATTTGTTACCTTTCCTCCCTTTAATCTCAAATATGCAGACAACCACACAAGGCAGTCCTAAGAAAAAATCTGCTACTTGTTTGTAAAAATTGCACCTGTCGAAAGGTTACATTTGGGTCAGTTATACAGTTTTCAAATATAGGCAACTTTTTCACACGCCTTTGAAATTAGTTTAAAAGTAGTTTGTTGGAAAATAGACATGCATATTCTATGGCACAAGGCTGTTACATACTTTTGTATGCGTTTGGGAAAACGATGTTCCTTGGCATTAGTAAATTGACTAAACTATAGAATAATCTCACCTTAAGCATGCCTTCTTACTTCACATACAGACTTTAAAATGCCATCCACACATTTGCTTGATACCGTGTGAGCTGAAAAACGTTTGAATGTTAATAAACTGGAGTTTTGCTGACTGGAGTCAGTTGACACGATATTACTATGACTGACTAGTGTTATATGTCCATATCACTTTAATTAATGAGCACTTTGCAAATTAGTAATTTTTCAGGGTTGGTCAAATGTCATTCTTCTCAAGGTTCCACAAAACCGTAGTGCAGCTCTGGGCTGAATGAATGACTCAAACACACGCACACACACACACACACACACACACACACACACACACACACACACACACACACAGTTGTTAGCATGTGTGCAGAAATGTGTATATGCCACTGAAAAAGTATGCGTGTGCTCTTATTCTCCCTCTCTCCTTTCTCACCCTGCCTCACACAAACGCTATCAAACAGTCTGCCTAGGATCAAAGCCAGAGCACCTTCCCCTCTCCTCCCCCATCCTCCCTCTCTCCTCTCTGGGCTGTAAACACTATCCAAGCAAACGGCAGCCTTGAAGACACAAAGACAAGTAGCTGCCTGACACCTGACACTGACTTGAGAGCACTCACCGTGGTCTACCTGGGAATAAAACACACACACGGCTACCTGAGCTCCTTGCAGCAAGAAGAGTCCATTCAGGGAGAGAACAGAGAAAGTAGCCGAGCAATCAACCCCCCCTCAACACACACTCCATCCCACCTCACCTCCAGTCCTCACACACATCCCCGGCCTATCCCTTTTTAACTCTTCCCCACCTTACTCCTGCACATCCAACATCTATCATTCAATCCCTAAAAAGATAAAGTCTGTGTAATTGTGCACACCTGCATGCAGCGTCTGCTTGATGCCCTGTGACTGCATTTGTGCAGAGGCAATTGAAGGCTAACTCAGGTAAACTAAGCGGAAGCAAGGGAGACGCCGTGGGTCACCGGTGGCGGCAACATAGGTGTGTACTCTGGCTTTTCATGTGAAACCACCTGAAAGCCAACAAAAGCCCCCCCCCTTCCTCTCTGCATCTCACAGTACAAAGGAATGAGGTGAATGAAAGAAAGAGCGGCGGAAGGAAGGGGGATGAGGTAAGGGGATGAGGATGCAAGGGTGGGGCAAGGTGGAAGAGATGAAGGGCTGCCTAGGCAGAACAGGGGTGGGGGTATTTTTGTGTGTTTTTAGTTCGGGACAATAGTAGGCCCGGGGACATGGTCAGTCACAGAGTTCAGCAAAGCAATCCATCACAGGCTGGCAATAGCTTTTCACCTTTTGGTGGGTCAGTTTGTGTCTTTCCTCTAAAATACCTCCAGAGCAACAACATTTGACATTTTCGATGCTCTACGGCAGCACTTCACAAACAGTACAATACACATAATACAAAATGATACACACAGTAGACCACACACCATCTCAATTTGAAGTGTTTGTGACAAAAATCAACAGGATTAATAATATACACCCATGCTAGCGGCTCTGCGAGTCTGATGTAGGAACATTGGTAAATTGAGCTGAATGCTAACGACAGCATGCTAACATGCCTACTATGCTAAGGCTGATATCCTGATGTTTAGCCGGTAGGCCTACAATGTTTACAAATTTTTTGCCGTCTCAGTTTAGTGTGTGAGCGTGTTTATATTCACTAATTAGCACTAAACCCATAGTACAGCAGTGGCCGATAATTGTGCAGGTTTATGGTCATACGACAAGACATACTTTTGACCTGATGATGGTGCAAGAGTACATGAATGTGTACCAAATGTTAATGTAACCCAACCAAAAGTTGACATGACAATTCACTCAAAACCACACATTTTTGCTTCAAAGACACATTGTGGAATATAATAATACAAGTTTAATACAAATTAAAAGATAATGTATACAAAATATAAATACATATAAAAGTATTGCATAACACAGGATCAGGAGTATCCTATGTATCCCTTTATGACGAGTAAAACCTTTTATTATTAGAACAACCTACTGACACCGAAAGAGGTTCTTTAAAAAAGTGCAAGATTTGGACAATTCTATAAATGTAACTGATCATTTCATTAAAAACAACGTTTTCCTTTTATTTGTGCAATGACTAACAATAAACATAAGAGGGAGTTCCTCTCACACTGACTGTACCCAGCAGTGGATGCATTGAGCTGGGGAATGTTAAGACTTCTCATCATCACTTCTCATTTATTCTGTACAAACTGTGAAGTCCACTGAGACAAATGTAACATTTGTGATATTGGGCTATATAAATAAACATTGATTGATTGATTTATTGATCACTGACAAAGGGCAAAAAACGTTTTATCTCAGTATGTTATGTTTGGATATTGTTAAAAAAGTCTTATTTAATTAATTAAGATATTATGGTGTAGC